GTGTCTGTGATGGAACAGACCCATAGCAGAAGTAGTTGCCAGGCTGGACTAGATCTGCAGGCCCTTGAGACTGGGTTGACCTAGCAAGATTGTAGCTGAATGCACATTGCTATAGCCCCCATCACCACCACCACAGCCATGCCCCCCAGCCTGAAAGCATGGAAAGGTAAAGCCAAAGGGGTCCTGAGTCCCAGGCTGGGAGACGGGTTCCCATAGATGCTCTGGGTCAGTTTCCTGAGTGTGAACCCAGGGCCTCCCACTCCCACCCCTGGCCCCAGCAACTTGGCTGAGAAAACCAAGTCTCGGGCAGTCAGGATCCTCCCAGCAGGTGTTCTGGGTCAGCCTGAGCTGTCCCTCCCCAACCGTCCCCTCCCTCTACCCCAGCCAAACCCCACAGCAGCTGCCCCACAGCCTGGCTGGACCTGCTCCCACAGGATCCTCCTGCCAGTGACAGGATCTGCCATCCCCACCCTGCCTGGCAGCTTCCAGGGAAAGGGCTTGGTTCGAAGACTTGCCTGGGGTAAGCCTGGATCCTTGGTCATGACCCCAGTGGGAGAAATCATAATGTACTAGGGAGAAGGGGCTTCCTGGGAGATCCTCTCCCTCCTCCTTTCTGCCCATTTTTGGCATAAATAATCCAGGCCACTGCCTGCTCCCTTGGCGTTCGCTAGAGGGGAATTTTCTAAAGGACGAAGTTCTTGGGAAATATCCACCCTACTCTGCCTTTTGTTTTAGGACAAAAGTGCTCAAAGGGATCCTGCCCTTGGCTGGTAATGCCTGGGGCCAGAACTGAACCAGAAACAAGGAGACACTGACCTTCCCCTCCCCCCGAAGGGCAGTTAAGAGTCCGTAGGCTGTCTCCTATCTCTCTCCTCAGTAGTCCTTCCCCTGGGGGAGGGCAGGGCAGGGCAGACTTTAAGACTCTAGAGCCAGGGTAAAGGCGTCCTGCATAGAATTTCTCAGAAAAGTTAGCCTGCCAGACTGGAGGCAAGATCCAGAAATGGAGGCTGCAGACCTTGCTGGCAGAAGCAGCAGGGGACAGTTCCGTCATGTCAGCACTGGGTCCAGGCACGTCCTGTGCTCTCTGCCTCTCCCCACGCTGTTGACTGGGGTTTCCCAGCCTCCGCTCTCCCCCACCCCAGCGGGGAAGGCTGTTGAGGGCCCCGCAGCCTGGGCAAGTGTACCCACCTCTCAAGCATCTCTAAACCTCAATCTCACTTACCCCTCCCCCATGTCTGCCCGACGGGGGGCAGCTCCAGCTAGTGGAAGAACCACCCTGCCTGGCACTTCCAGCTGTGGAGGAAATGGGAGCATGCAGGGGGCTTCAGCTTCTGCCACACAGCTCCTTGGCCTCGCAGGCCTCCCTTCCCTGGGCCTTGAGAGGGAAGACAGAGCCCTGTGTGACGCAGTGCCAGCGGGACAGGACCGGGCTTGCCGAGTTCAGGGCTTGGTCACGGCGCGACTTGGAGCAGGAAGCCCGCTCTCACACCTGGCTGTTTACTTGAGTCCTGCCGGGAACAGCCCGCTGGCTCGCAGCACCCCTGCCCTCATTCCTGGGTGCTGCTGGTCCCTGGCTGCAGAACTTGCAGAGAAGGTGGGCTCATCCCCCTCCTCGCTGCTAGTTTCTGCTGTTTGCTTCTCTGATCTTTAAAAAACAGGGTAGGGGCAGGAAGGGGTGGGGGGGCAGTTTCAGCAGAAGTTGTGCAGGTGCCCAGCGCAGGTATCTGTCCCTTTGGACAAAATCTGATGCTCTCTTACCTTCTCCATACTGAGACCTCAGGACTTGGAAAGGGGAGCTGATGGTCTGGAAGCTTCCTGTGACAATGATGTGGCTTTTTCTGCCACCAAAAGTACTGCCCAGGACCCCAGCTTTGGCCAAGACCCAAGTTGTGCCCCAAAGGAGGGGTCTGCACAGCTGCTGTCTGTTGTGCTTTCTGACCACAGTGGAACCTCATTCCCTTAAATTAGACCAAAGTGTTCCTTAAAGGGCCTCCCCTCCCCACACCCACACCCACACCCACAGTTAGGCCCACCTCTGTGGATCACCCTCAAAAGTAGGAAAAATGACATACAGCCTTCCTCCTAGGTCATGGGTAGGGTAACTCCCCTCTCCAGGCTTTGGAAAATCACCTTATAAAATATTGGTTAACAGGGCTTTTCTCCAGGACTTCCGTTTCATTCTTGCTATTCCCCATTTGTTCCCCCCCAAAGCAAACATGCTCACACTCCCAAAACAAGCGTGCGCGCGCGCACACACACACAGGCACTCAGACTAGTTTTCTGGGGATTTTCCCTCCAGATTCAATTATGGGAATCCGCATAAGAAGAAGTTGTGAAACCCTTGCACATTTTCTCTAGCTGCTTTTTTTCCTACCAGTAAATCCCCACAGCACAGATTTTCCTCCAGGGCATTCTTCAGATCCTAGGCCCACCCTTCCACAGCTCCCTTTTAGGAAGATAAATTCAGCCGGCAGAGTGAAGAGAGAGTGTCTGCTTCCCTCCTCCCCCCAACCCCTCTCCCTCCCTGGGACCAGGATTGGCCTCTGCACACTCCCTGGGTGGCTGAACTCAGAGGGCTCTGATAGTCCCAGGCTTTATGCACATCCTGAGGCCTCCGAACAGTAGACCTCCCCCTGAGCCTGGGGTCATTACTAGTGAAAGGTTCTGAGAGGAGCCTTCCCCACCTCACCCCACTCCGGGGCCATGACACCCACCCCCTACAGACAGCCCATGCAGGTTCATGCTGGCACCTCCTGCCATCTCCCAGTCAGTTTAGTCAATGCCCTCTCAAAGAGAGCCCTGGGTCACATGGGGTTTTCTGCTGTTTTGCAACATCACGTCCCTCCCTCTTGTCCCATACCTATCCCCCAACCCAGTTAGGCTCAATGATAATTGGCAATGGCCTGTTTAAAATTAATTTTAAGTATTCTGAGTAAAGTACATATGCTATGGGGGGGGGGTGGATCTTAAATGGCCAAAAAAAAAAAAAAGTCCCATAATCCTTTCTTCTAGAGAGTCACATTTTCACACTGCTGTATTTGCTGTATTCCATCCCAACCCAGTCTATTGCCACCTTCTCTCAGGAGACCATGGGCTGTACCCCCACCCCCAACCCAGCCACCTAACTGTTCAGTCCCTCTGCTCCCAGCCCTGAGTCATACCTCACCCACCTCTGTCCCCGCCAGTAACCTACAGGTCAGACCCTCATGTGTCTTGCCTCTGCCTCTTGCATCAGGCTCTGGGATCTGGCTGGTGTTGTAATCTCTGCCCCACCCCCACCCCCACAGGGCCATGTTCACCTCCAACCCTGTGTTCTAAAGGCCTGGTTTAATTTAGTGACTTCTTCCCCAAAGCCTTCTGGACTGCATGTCATGACCAACCGACCCATGAAAACCAAAAGGACCCTTTCTCCTTTTGCTCCCAAGGGAGGCTGAGATGCAGTGTTTGTTGGCCAAGTGGCTGTCTTCCTGTGGCATCTTTCTCCCTCGAATGTCAGAGTGTTTGGGCTGAGTCTTAGTCAAGGTGCAGTGTCTGGCACACAGGCCTGAGCTTGCTTTATGAGGGGGGCAGTGAACTGTGCCAGGCCTGTAGTTTGGAAGGAGTTCCAAGGCTGTGGGCACCTCCCTAGGGCAAGGCCAGGCTAGGGAAGGGGAGCCCAAGGGGAGCCAAAGCATGACGGCCCGCAGGGGTACCCCACAGGTGGAGCTATCTCTGAACGCTGGACCTTACCCAGTTCTGGGCAGTGCTGCCCGGAGCACAGTGGGAACACTGTCGGCATGGCCGTAGCTGCCTGTGCTCCCCTGTGGGGTCAGGCCACCTACGGGCCTCAGCTGCTGTGCTGAACCCCAGGCTCGTCCCGGGCTGGCAGGGGCTGCTGGGGCAAGGTGGCCAGGGAGCCTCTGTGCTTGGGACTTTGGACCATGGTATTTTGTTCAAGATCCATCTCCACCGTGGGGAGTCCAGTGCCCTCAAAAATGACTCTGGCAGTTTCTGGGACACCACCTAGTATTCTAAGGGGGGAGAATGATAAGGCAGGGGAAGTGGGGGCTGGGGGGGCTGGTTCTGAGTTATCACCCAGTGTGAGCCCCGCTGCCTCGGAGCTGCCTCTCCCATCCGACTCAGCCTCAGGGCTGGTTATCTGCCACAGCACAATCCCATGGTCTGGCTGTTTCCTGCCATCTCCCTATCGTAGACTGAAAGCATCTGAAGGGGGCAAGGCAACAGGCACCTTTGAGTGGGAGGAGGGCCACCCCCTCAGACAGAGCTCAGAGTGGAGTGGGCTGACTTCACATCAGGCCCCTCAGCTGTCTTTGGGGTGTTCCTCCTACCTCATTTCCTCTGAACAGAGAGAGAACGAGAGAGCCCCATAAGTGAATGGCCACCAACAAAGGACGTCTTGGCATCAAACCTTTCTCTGGGCAGGTGGAATTGGCCCTAGTCCTGGTCTCACGCTTCAGGATGTCCAGGGGCCAGAATGTGGACACAGGTTGGGCAGGTGAGGTGGGCAGGTGTGCAGTCTGTACTCGCTCCCATCCATCTCCCTGCTCACTACCTGCCTCATTCAGCCACACAATTTCTCTCTCCGGACAAGGCTGCCCACCCGTGTGTGCAGCAGGTGTTCCAGTGAGGGGTGAACCAAGCTCTGTGGCCATGTCCCCCCACAGAGGACAGTGGTACCCAATCACAGGACCCATAGGCATAAGTTCAGAGAGCAGATCCCGAAGCTGCTTTCCTGGGTGAGACTGGACAGGCCCCTCCCAGCAGGATGTCTCTGTTCAAGCCAGATGATGTGTGGGCTTCTAGATGGCTGAGGTTCCTTTTTCTGAAGGAAGGAAAGCTGCTCATTACTCAGAGGGAAAGCTTTGGGTACGTGGGGCCTGGAGTCCTTGAAGATGCCTCCTCAGAAATTATTCCTGAAAGCCCAGGGAGACTGAGTCCCTGCCCTAGGCCCTTTGACCCAAGAACAGGAAGGCATCAGGAAGCCTGTGCTCTCTCTCCAGGTCTGCTATCTATGCCACAGCCTCCTGACACTGGCCGGGGTGGTAGTCAACAGCCAGGACATCACTCCAGATCAGTGGGTGAGTCTCCTAAGAGGCTGGGCCGGGCAGGGATGGGCTGGGCCGGGCAGGGATGGGCTGGGCCAGGCAGGGCTGGGGACGCCCAACCCAGTGTCCAGAGCTGCAGTGTGGGAGACTGAGAAAGAAGCAGGCTGAGGAAAGCCAGGCCTCCTCCTTGTCCCACTGGGTGTTCCAGAGGGAGACTGACCTGTGCCCATCAGCTTCCCTCTTTCTCCCCTCCCTTTCCTGCCCTGCTGCAGTCACCCAGGCGTCTCTCTTCTTCTCTAACTTTATTCTCCCTCCTCCCCCACTCTGGCTGCACCTGGTGTGGGCCATGTCCCTTCTGCAGGAGGAGTTGCAGCTGCTGTGCATGCAGTTAGACTGCCACATCAGCACCCATATCCGGGAGAGCCCCCAGGCCATGCACCGGACCAAACTCAAGGACTTGGCTGCCCAGACCTACATCCGCTGGCAGGAGCTGCTGGGCCACTGCCAGCCCCAGGTGGTGCCCCTGGCCCCCAAACCCAGGAGGGGAGGGAAGTGGTCAGGCAGGCTGACCAGAGCCAGCAGTGTGTCCGCCTCCGCGCAGCTGCTGAACCTTGGTTGGGAGCTGGGTCAGTGGTAGTGTGGGGTGGGGACCAGGAGGAGATGCCTGGGAAGGCTTTCTTTCATCTTTCGTCTTAAGGACCAAATGCCCAATGTGGGGTTTTGGAGAAGGGAATACAGAGACGGTGATGCCTGGGGAAATACAAAAAAATAAAAATACTTCTGCCCTGGAGAGGAGAGAACCAGTTTGTTGCGATCAGCGCCAGGAAGGGGCACCAGCGGCAGCAGCTGTCCACCATCTGCCCACGTGTCCTGCAGGCCTGAAGCTGACCTACTCTGCTAGCAGGAAGGTTTCCAAGCTGCTGCCCTGGTTGCTATAGTTCTTGTCGCCACCATCTCCACACCCTTCGTTTTTTCAGACTTTCTAGGTGATAATATTCATAGCTGCTGTTTATTGAACGAAGACCCTTTTCTTCGTCAGGTCACGTACCCTCATCAAGTGGGTATTGTGAGGATCCCATTTTACAGATGAGCAAGTTAACCAGAGTCACCAAGAGGTTAAATAGCTTGTCCCATTGTGCAGGCAGCGCGCAAATGTCAGAGCGAGGGCACGGAGCCAGTCCGACTCCCTGGCCTGCGGACTCAGTCCAGTCTGCTCTGGCAGTCTCTCTTGTGGCCTCCACCCTCCAGCAAGTAACATTGGCTGACTCGGGACTCTCCCCTCCCCTAGCCCTCAGCCACGGATGGGGTGAGCTAGATCTGGTGAGAAATTCTCTCATGCTTCTTACTCCCAGATTGCCTTTCTTCTGACTTTTTCTCAGCTTGTCCTTCTCCCTGCAACCTCTGACTTGGGGCTGACACATCGGTCACAGGCTGTGGCTTGGATCTCAGATTTCACGTCTCTGAGAAAGCTGGAGAGCAAACCTCACCCTCAGCCTCCAAGGAACTAGATTTCACTAGTCTCTGGCGGGAAACAAGTGTGTTTGTCTTGAAGAGGAGAAAAAGTGTTATGTAATCCCATCCAGCCAGGGGACAGGACCCACCTTCCTTTTAGAGCCCCCTGGATCTACGTCCTGGTCTTCACTGGTGGGTAGAGGGGGCACAGGCAGGGCACTCAGGCATGTGGTCAAGTGGCCTGTTGACCTGCGGTGACCTTGCCTGGGACAGGAGCCCCAGGAGTCTTGTCGCCCAGTGCCTAGCATAAAGGAGGCCTACAGCGGATGTTGAGTAGACGCTGGGGCATCGGGCAGCGTCAAGTTGGTGGGTGCCATAACACCCCGTTTTTCCTCCTTGTCACAGGCCCAGTACTTCAGCCCCTGGAAGGACATGTAATGAGGCAGGCGGGGGTGGCCCAGAGCTCTGGACACTGGCAGAAAATAAACAGGGCTCAGGGAACAAGAGAAGGTGAAGAATAGAGAGCAGAGGAAGACCAGAATGAAGGAGCAAGAGTCCCCTGCACCACTGCCCTGGCCCCCACCAGGGCGAGGTCCTATCTTTCCGTGCCTGGCCCACCTCAGTGCTCTCCTTCCCATCCCAGCCATCTCCTCTTCTCCTATTGCTTTTGTCTCCATAGCTCTGGTTTCCGGGCCTCCTGCTCCTCCCCCACCCCTCTTCTCTCTCTGCCACTAATGTGAGGCTTCTTTGTGCACACTAAAGTCTTATTTCAGCATCAGTGGTTTTGAAGATTTCCTTCAATCCCTGTCCTGAGGGCTCATGACATCTCTGCTCCAGCACTCTGCCCAGTTCTCACCTCTGACAGTCATGTGACTGGGACTGAGGCTCCACACCCCTGCAGCTGAGGGCTGTTTTTAAATCTGGAGGGTGAGGCTCTTACTCCAGTGGCCCTAGAGCTGTCAGAAACCCAGGGAGCAGGGCTGGGGAACATTTCTTTGGACTCTTTCTGGGACCACTCCCCACTCTCCACCCTCTCTGGGAAGGATGCATGGAGCGAGCAGGTGGATCAGAGCTGTAATTACTCTTAATTCAGTTTATAGTTGAGCTCTGGAATCAACTCTGTAGACTTAAGAGTGGAGGTGGTGCCAAAAGACAGTTCCAGTTACTCCTTTTGCTTTCCCTCAGCCTCGCCACGATCAGTTTTATGGACTCTGAGCCCTAATGGGATGCCAGATGCCTAACCTGCTCCCTTGACCAGTGACTGGCAGCCTTCGGATCCCAGGAGATCCCGAGGTAGCCACTTTCTCTGCTCACTTCTCTAATCCTGAAAGTTCACTTCTGGTCTCTGCCCCTTCCTGCCTCTTTCCGGGTTGGGATGGGATTTTGCAAGGGCCAGCTAGGAAGTAGCATCAGTGGATGACCCCTGTCCAGATGGTCTGTCCCCACGCCTCAGCCCAACCCCAGGGTCTGCTGATAGAGCATTACCGCGACTGGTGCTTCTGACTTTGTTTATATGGCCTTTCTTTTTCTCTTTGGAAAAGGCAACCTCACTAGGAGAGACAGCCCCCTAATAAAGGGCTGCTTATTTTTTTTTTTAAGATTTTATTTATTTAGATATACAGAACTGGGGTACAGGCTAGAGGTGCAGGGACAGTGGGAACATTCACCAGAGACAGAGTTTAGACTGATTTGACAGACCTAAAGCATAGCCTGTCCACCTGGGCATGTTAGACACAGCTGCCGTCCTGGCTGGTCCACAGGATGCTTGAGAGCTGGAGCATCTGTAATTCAGAGCACACAGCAGACCATATGAGATGACTCCCTGCTTGAAGCCTTTGCCAGGTAAGAATAGAAGAAACCCTCGGCCAGGACGACTTGGATGCCCAGTCGACTTGACTGAGAGTTACAGTTTCTGTTCGTGGCCTCATCACAGTTCCCCTTTGGCTAGGGCACCACGGCCCCAGCGGCATCAGGTAGGCTGAGATGATGCTCTGATAAAAGAGCCAGCGAGCCTCGGTCCTCGCCTTCCCTCAGGGCTGCCTCTGCTTCTGACACTGCACATCCTGACAGTTAATCCTCAGCTATTCAGTTTGCTCTGGAAACCTGGAAATCACCTTTGAAATTTCCCTTCTTTGTTCTCTCTGCCAAGGGCAGAGAGGGAGTAGGGAGGCCCAAGAGGCTGAACTGGGGAGTTTCCAGTTCTTGAAGCTGTCCCTGTTTGGCTCTGAGAAAGGGAATGGGCTGTCCATCCGCATAGCAGCGGGGAGCCCTTCTCCCCAGACCAGGTTCTTGTATACTGTGCCTTCCTCCCCCGCTCCAACACATTCATCCCCAAGAGAGAAACAGACACCAAGGAGAGAGGAGGTGTTGGTGACGACTAGGCACCTCCTGAGACCTAGCTGTAACCTGAGCAGAGGTGTGCACTTCGAGGTCACCCAAGGGCGTACACTATCTCCAAGGGCGTACAGGTAATGGGCCCTTGCTGGGACTGCCTGCTGGGAGCTTGACCAGACCTTCTAAAACTAATGGGGATCTCTTACCAATTCAGCCCCCTCTAGGCCAGAATTCCATGATGGTACTGGCAACTTCGCCACTTGCCCTTTCCATTCCCAAAGCTCCTGGGAAAAGGCCGAGGGATATCCTGATTGAAGCCACTGGAAAGGCAGCATCCGGGGCTGTGATGACGGATGTTTTCCTGCTTCCTTTTGGTGGTGGTGGCAGGGAGGGGCTGGGAAGGGAAAGGCTTCCCAGGTGGATGACTTTGATAACTCCCCTTTAGGAGGAAATAGAGAGAGGAAGTCCTTTTCCGATGTTCCCACTCACACTGGTCCCTAGGCGCTCAGATCTCCAAAGGGTGGCTGACCCAGGCGTGCTTATTTGCCATCTGGGGATTGCCAGCCACTCCTGGCTCCTTGGAAGTGAGCCAGGCAGCACTGACCGTGGAACCCCAATGTGGACCATCAGCCCTCCCTGTGGGCTGGGGTAAGGAGCCCAAATAAGGCACAGGGAACATGAACATGATGCATAGGAGAGAGAGAGGAAGCACCACGGGCCTGTCTCCAGAGATTGCTGACTAAGGCTTGCGAATGGGTACCTTCTAGAGAATAGGCCAGGTGCAAGAAAAAAAGAGGTAAAAAACAAAGAGCGACTATGCCAGATGGGCCCCAAGAGTACTTTGTCAAATTTATATCTTGTTTTTTTTTTTTTTTTTTTAGTATTTCTTAATTTAAGACCCAGGAATCCTCCTTTTTGACTTCTATTAAGAATTATGAATCATGGGCAGCCATGCAGGAAATCTTATCCCTTGTCCACCCACCCATGGAAAAGGCCAGTCCTGGATATGAACAACATACAGCAGGAAATGAACGAAAGTAGAAAAGCAGGTGGGGGAGCTACTGCTATATTTTTGAGGATCCTTTGGGAAGGCAGGACTTCAGGACTCTGTGAGCAAGAACTCAGCAGAGGTACAGAGCACTGCTCCTGCCAGTGAAACCAAACCACCTTTAGAAACTTTCCACTGGGGCCATCTTGCAGGTAGAGTCTCTGCCAGAACTCAAGTCTCTGTAGCCCTTATACTTACAGGGTAGGGGTGGAGGTGAAGCTTGAAGTTGAGGAACGGCAGCAGGAAATAGGGTGTTTACAGCCTAAAAAAGTTAGCAGAAAAGTTCCACTGTGACTTAGTGGAAAGGCAGCAGAACTGAGAATCCCAAGACCTGACTTAAAATTCTGACTTTGTTGATTATCTGTGTGACTTTGGGGAGGTTGCTTAACCTTTCTGATACGCAGTTTATTTCTAAAATAGAAGAAGCAATACCTGTGTTTTTTTTTTTTTAAAGATTTATTTATTTATGCATACAAAACTGAGGTACAGGCCAGAGGTGAAGGGGTGGTGAGAGGATTCACCAGAGACAGAGTAGGGAGCAGAACAGGCAGATCCAGGAAGTACACTCCTGAGTGGAGCAGCAGGCAGGTCAGGAGACATCTGCTGCACCTTGTGGGTCACCTCCCTGGGCAGGGATGTAAATTGTGCTGCAGAGGCTGCCCGTAGCTTCATCGTGCTGAGCTTTAACCCCTTGCACCACCAGAGAGCCCCCAGCAATACCTACCTTTTTTTAAGAGTGTGGTCTTGAAGCTGGAGGGAGAAAATGTATGTTGCAAAGACTAGAACAGAGAGCAAATACAAGGGTGAACGTATGTTTATCAGTTTAGCTCAAGGCCTGGGGTCACACACTTCTCCCTCCCTGTTGGCTGAAACGGAGGAGTCTGTGCCTGTCACCCCATGCCAGTTGTTAACTGGCTTGTCCCCTATCTCCAACATCTCCAAAGCCACAACTTTTTTTTTCCGGGAGGAAAGGAGCTGGGAAATGTGGCATTGGCCCCTGAGGGAGAAGGGGCCTTTATGTGTCTCAGCAAAGACCCAATTGTTACTGCATCCAAATCGGGCTGCTTTTCCCAATTATCTCCACTACTCTTTTGGTCTCCACTTTGCAGATGCCAAGTTTTAACCCAGAACAAAGCTCCACAAAGCTCCTGTCGGGACTGATTTATAATCCAGATCTGCTGACAAGGCCCTAAAATGATCCTCCCCTCCAGGGTTGTGTGGGTCTTAAAGTCACCATTGAAGCCTCACGGCCTCCAGTCTTTTCCCCTCTGTCCATGACCAAGAGGTGGAATGGTCTCAGATGCCAGAGAGGTGGCCTCCCTGGGGTTCCTCTGTTCACCTGCCCAGCTCCAGGAACTGGCTGGCAAGGAGGATACCCCAGCACCGCTTAAGAGGCCAGAGCTACAAGTTATTTCTAAGAGTGGCTGTGGGTGGAGGCTGGCTTTTCTGAAGGTGGTGGAGGTTCTGCAGGTGGCTCCGTCAGCCCCTTTCATCAGGGCTCATGTCACTTGTTATTCAGCCTTCCAGTGGCCCAGGAGGAGTCATTTCCTGGGGATAGGCTTTGAGCTACCCGAGTGGAGAGCTGTCTTCAACCAGAGCTGGGCAAGGGACACAGAAAGGGTCCCACATCTGGAGAGTGAGAAACAGGGGTGCACTGTCTCTAAACACTGGGGGAATCCTCCTGGCCGTGAAGGCCCATTTCAGTCTGAACGCAGAGGTCAGTGGTCGAGTACCGTGGCCAAGAACCGAATCAGGGGCCAAAAGACGGACAATTCAGGACTGCCCCAAAGGAAAGCCTGGGCTTCCCTGAGCGCCTCCCTCGGATACTACCCGGTAACTCTAGCGTGGGGAACTGCTCAGTCCTCTTCCCGAGACCGGCGCCCGGCCCTCCGTAGGCCTGCTGCCGGGGTCACTTCGGAGAGAGCGGGTGAGTCCGTCAGATTCCCCCAAGGCAAAGTCGGAGTCCCTCCCCCGTCCCACTTCCCGGAGCTGTGGCGCAGGACGCGACTCCCAGGCGCGGGGCTGGCGGGCAAGGGGAGGGGCGGGGGTCGGAGCCCTCTGGCTGGCCGGCGGGTCGCGGCGGGTCGCAGCCCCTCGTGGGCGGGCCTTCGCGTCCCGCCCCCGGCCTCTGCTCGACCCCCCCCCCCGCCTGACGTCAGGAGAAGGAGGGACGAGGCGAGCGGCCCTAGCTAGCAGCCGCGGACAGAGTCGGCGCCCGCCGCGGTGGCGCGGGGAGCCCGAGCCCAGGGGCGCCGAGCCGAGCTGGGACCGAGGGGCGGTGGCAGAGGGACAGCGGAGGAGGGCGGGCGGGCGCGCGCAGGAGGGCGAAAGCGCGCGAGTAGGGGCGCACCGCGGTCAGAGCCGAACGCGAGGGCGGCGCCCGGGGATTCTAGCCGCCAAGAGGAGGTGAGTGAGGCCGGGGTTTCGCGGGGCCGAAGCTGTGGGACTCCCGGGCCGCCGCTTTGTCCCAGATTCGTGCAAGGGTCGCCACGCGCGCAAGGGACACGGTCTGGGGGCGCAGGGAGGGGCAGCGGCGGGGACAGCTGCGCGCCGGAGATCTTGCGCGCCCCGCGGGCTGCCTCGTGGGGCTGGAGCGCCGGGCGCGCAGTGTCTGCAGCCCGGGGGTACGGAGGGAGGCGCGGGTCGGTGTGGGGGAGCGGAGCTAGGGGACCAGGGGTCCCTCGAGCTGTCCGGTCCGCGGCCGGAGTCTTCACCAGGCCCCCTAACTGCCCGGGGCTCCCCCACCTCCGACGGAAAGTTTGGGGCGGGCTTGGACTGAGGCCGATGTTGTGGGATCGGATTTCCCTGCCGCGGCCCCCCGCCCGCCCGTTCCGCGGGGAGGCGGGTTGTCCTGGAAAGCCGGGCTCGGGATCCGAGTCGGGCCGCCCAGTGCCGGGCCGGAGCGCGCATCCTGCAGCGGTGGAGCGTCGTTCGCTGCGGGACGCTCGGGGTGGTCAAGGTGGGGGGAAGCACCCCTTCCCCCCCGTTCCTCTCTCCAGGGCTGCCCCTGTCTCTCCCGCCCGGAGAGGAGCTGGGCGACAGTGGGGAGGCACCACCGTGTCGGCAGACGGTCGGAGAGCACCGCGGTGCCCCGCCCGGGCCTGGAGTGAGGGGCATAGGGCGAGCTGGGGGTGTGTTGCGGGACGGGTGGGTGGGTGAACCTAACCCAGCCCCCGCCCTTCCCGCGCCCGTGCGCGCAGGGCCGACAGGGGGCGTCGGCATCCAAGCTCCGCCACGCTCCCAGCACCGCCGCTTTGTTTGCATTCAAATCCCCGGAGCTGGGGGAGGGGAAAGCCCGGGCGGGGGGTACCAGGGACCGCGTCCAGACAGGGACCCTTTGTTTTGGGGTGAGCGGGTCCCCGGTTTCTATGTCTCTGTGCTCAGCATCAGAGCGCCGGAGCAGCGAAAATCGACTCAGATGGCCTACCCAGACCAGGGCTGCTCGGGGCGCAATCCCTGAGTTGGGAATGTTCGTCAGACCCCTGGGGATCGGAGCGGGCGCCCGCTCAGCACAGGGCGTCCCCGACGGATCGAGAGGAACCCCTCTCGAGCTGCTCTTCTGGTCCTCACTTCCCCCGCCCGCGTCTGAGCGAGCGCCGCAGGGATATCCCTGATTAGACTGGAGCTGTCTCTGTTGCCCCGCCGCCTCTCAGCCCCAGGGCTACTGTCTCCTAGGAGGCTGAGCGGGGAACAGGATGAGGCCCTGGTCATTTCCACGCCCATCCCACCCACTTCCTGCCTTCCTTCTTGGGCAACAAAGGGGCCTCGGGAAGCTGAGCCCCTTCGGCTCCCGGCCCCACTCTCAGCCCTGCTGATGTGGAACGGGGGTGTTGGGTTCGGCTATTGTCTGCGCTGGGGGAGGGGAGAGGCTGGGCGCTGAACCCCCGCGGCCTGCTGGCCGGTCAGCCCCTGGGAGGGCTTTCCCAATCGCCCACCTTTACCATGCCCCGCCTAGCCCCCTGATGGGGTGTGCAAACCACAATTAGGTCTTTGGACTTGCTGGAACCCCTGTGAGGGCAGGTCCTACTATCAGGTTACTTTAAAAGAAAGCCTCAAATCTTTCAAGCTGGAGTGTGGGGGAGGGGTCCCCTTTTTCTTAAACAACTTCCTGTTGAGGAAAGGGAGTGGAGGAGAGCTGGAATCCAGAGAAGGTTTTTTGGAGTGTCTGCTCCTACTGCTGACTCAGCTCCTCCATTCCCCTCAGGGAGACCCCCGGGTCCTTTGGAGACAGAGCAGAAACTGTGGGTGAGGGGGATCTGGGGCTCCATGCCAAGAAAAGGACAAGGGGGAGCAAAGCCAGGTGCCCCTGGGGAGGCCTCTCAGGTCTTCCATCAGTCGCTGCCAACAGGGGTTTGTGTGGGCTGACCCCCTTCCTGTCTGTTTTCTCTGACTGTGATTCTGACCCTTTGTTTTACCCCAGCAGGGCAGCTGGCCCGGAGCTCTGAGCCCTGGCGAATGCCATGGCCCCACACTGGGCTGTCTGGCTGCTGGCAGTGGGGCTGTGGGGCCTGGGCATTGGGGCTGAGGTGTGGTGGAACCTGGTGCCCCGGAAGACGGTATCTTCTGGGGGTGAGTGCCTGAAGGGGGAGAGGAGAGAGCACTGTGGGAAGTGGGGGGCCAGGAGGGACTGCTAAGGGAATTGTACCCTAGAATGAGTTCCAGCTCGATTCTGCTATCAGGCTCAAGGCCCACCCCTGTGTGTGACATAGCTTTCTAAGAAGTGTGAGTGCGTGGCCCCAGGAACCCAGAACTGGTGGTCCAGGTCAGGGCCTGGGATGTATTTCCTTTTGATGCTTAGAACCTGGCTGCGCATCATGCGAAGAAGTGAAATCATTTTGCACGGCCCTCCCCATGCCTCATCCCTGGAATTATCATTAGTGCTGAGAGCCCGGAGGGAGAAGCCTCAATGAGGATAAGCAAAGCAATGGATGTCGCCCCCTTCCCAAATCTTCTAGCTCTATGCCTTTAGGATCCCTTCCCTCAGCCCCATACCCCTCTCTGCCCAGCACTCATGCCCTCTTGTGGCCGGGCCTGGGTGTGTGTTACCTGCATGTGCTCACGCAGGGGACGCAGACCTAGCCCTGCCTGCCCTTCTCGTGCATGGCACATCTGCATGTACAGGTGATGTCAGGTGTTTGTATCATCCCTGGGCTCTGGGGACTTGGGATGAGCTCACCTCCCACAGGCTTCCCTCAGGTGCTAATGAAGCCCTCTCTTGCTGATCTGTGTCTGGGCCTTAGGTTGGCTGCACAGACCAAGATTGGTTTAGGGAGACCCTAAGGACAGCTGTTTTCGGACCTGATGTAGAAATCCCGTGACGGTATAAATGTTGAAGTGTGTGCATGGCTGACGGCAACACGACTTCCCGGCCCTGCGGCTTCAGGGCCGTATCTGGCCCCCACCGCCCCCCTCCTCTCTGGTTTCCCCTCAGCTCCCTGGTCTGGCCTCCCTCCCCCGCTTTCCTTCATCTCCTGCCACTCCTGGGATGGCCGGCTGTGCTTGCATCCCTGGTAACTGGATTTGAGTCCTGACTTGAGTCCTGACCGAGTGAAGGGTTTCCTAAGGCAAGGAGCATTCACAGCTGCTGTCTGCCCTGCCCTCCCGGGCCTGGGCCTGGGGCCCGGCTAGACCCAGGTGTGGGCAGTGGGCAGCAGCAGCGCAAAGAAGGAAGCGGCAGCTGAGGAAGCTCAAGAAGGGTTGAGCCCAGCTCTGCAGCCAGAGGGGCCGTTGACCCTGAGAGTGCGAGCTCTCAGTTTGATGGCTTCCTCTGGCCGGAAGCTGTGGCTGAGATATCCTTTCTTCCTCCTCAGCAGCACAGATTTGCCTCCCGTGCTAAAAAGGCCAAGGAGGCACTGGTCAGAGCCAAAAGGCCATTGAAAAAGTTCTCTTTGTTGCCAGCTAGGGACCGGGGCTAACTTGTGCTACTGAAATGCTGGCTCTGATGTGGGAAACAGTAATGATCATGTCCCGAAGACATTGTATAGAGGGAGGCCAGTCCTGGGGGGTGCCAGCCCTCACTCCTGCCTTGTTCCTACAGAGCTGGCCACGGTGGTGCGGCGCTTCTCCCAAACGGGCATCCAGGATTTCCTGACCCTGACTCTGACCGAGCAGACTGGCCTCCTATACGTGGGGGCCCGGGAGGCCCTGTTTGCTTTCAGCATAGATGCTCTGGAGCTGCAAGGAGTGGTGAGAGGTGGGGGAGCGGGAGGCACACAGGTGGGGTGCAAGGAGGTCAGGTTGTCCTCTTAGCCAGCTACCCCCGCACTGTTCTCCCCTCTGGAAAGCTTGCTGTCTCCAGGGGGGTGCGCTCAGTGGAGTAAAGGAACTGCTTTTCCCTTCTGTGCCACACTTACTGGGTTCTGCTGCCATGGGGCAGCTTGGGGCTTCTGTCCTCTATTGAATCAAGCCCCAGGAGAATGGGGGCTGTACATTCTCTCGAGCTGTTCCCATGTTGCCACCACAGGCCATACTAGTGGCATGCACTCAGTGCACACCTGTGACACTGCTGATGTGCTCTCTCTCTGTGCCTAGATCTCGTGGGAGGCGCCAGCTGAGAAGAAGGCCGAGTGTATCCAGAAAGGAAAGAGTAACCAGGTGGGTCTCAGGGCGTGCCAGGTACGCTGGTCTGGGTCCTATTCTTGGTCCTGCGTCTCGATTCCTCCTACTTGAACTACACGCCTTTCCTTGCAGACCGAGTGTTTCAACTTCATCCGCTTCCTGCAGCCATACAACACGTCCCACCTGTACGTGTGTGGGACCTACGCCTTCCAGCCCAAGTGCACCTACATCGTGAGTGCTTCCCTCCCCTGGGCCCCCTCTCGGCCTGCTCTGGGCCCCCTGCCCCTTCTGCATCTCATTCTTCTGTCTCTTCCCTGCCCTAGGATATGCTCACCTTCACGTTGGGGCGTGGAGAATTTGAGGATGGCAAGGGGAAGTGTCCGTATGACCCAGCGAAGGGCCACACTGGCCTCCTTGTGGGTGAGTGGCTATGCCCGCCGCAGGGTGGGGGAATCACCAGGACTTGTCCCTACTCTGGGGCTGCATGGCCTCAGTGTAGCTTGCCCTCTGGCCTCAACTGCTGGCCTCTGTCTCCCATAGATGGCGAGTTGTATTCAGCCACGCTCAACAACTTCCTGGGCACGGAGCCTGTTATCCTGCGTAACATGGGACCCCACCACTCCATGAAGACTGAGTATCTGGCCTTCTGGCTTAATGGTGAGACCCCAGGAGCTAGGGTGGGGCCTGGGAAACCCTGGGGACCCACCACTAACCCTCCTCCCTTCTGCAGAACCTCACTTTGTAGGCTCTGCCTACGTTCCGGAGAGCGTGGGGAGCTTCACTGGGGACGATGACAAAGTCTACTTCTTCTTCAGTGAGCGAGCGGTGGAGTACGACTGCTACGCAGAGCAGGTGGTGGCTCGCGTGGCCCGCATCTGCAAGGTACAGAGTCCCTCACAGTGAGCCCTGGGAGCCCGGCTGGCCTGACCGGCTGACCAGCAGTGTCCCCTTGCCACCTGCCAGGGAGACATGGGGGGCGCGCGGACTCTGCAGAGGAAGTGGACCACGTTCCTGAAGGCTCGGCTGGTGTGCTCGGCCCCCAACTGGCAGCTCTACTTCAACCAGCTGCAAGCACTGCACACTCTGCAGGACGCCTCCTGGCACAACACCACCTTCTTTGGGGTTTTTCGGGCACGATGGTGAGTTGACTGGGAGTCCGTATGTGGGGAGCCGGTGAGGGATGGTTTATGGGTGCAGGCACCCAGGTGGGCCTCTTGCCGGTGCTCAGAAACCAACTTAGGCTGCTAGGCACCTGCCCCTTTTCAAAATTCCCGTGGGAGGTGGGCAGTGTCCTTCCCCAATGGCACTCGTGAGCTGCCAGCTGGTCCCATGTGCCCATGACGGCTGTGTGCTGGGGTCGAGTGAGCAACAGGCCTGACTCTCGCGGCCCTTCCCTTGCTGCGACAGGGGCGATGTGGACCTGTCAGCAGTCTGTGAGTACCAGCTGGAAGACATCCAGAAGGTGTTCGAGGGGCCCTACAAGGAGTACCGTGAACAAGCCCAGAAGTGGGGCCGATACACTGACCCAGTCCCCAGCCCGCGGCCCGGCTCAGTGAGTCCTCCGGGAGAGGCATTCCTGCCCTCTGCTCCAGTGGCTTTCCCACCAGGCTGACGCTTCCCTCCACCCCCCGCAGTGCATCAACAACTGGCACCGCCACCATGGCTACACCAGTTCTCTGGAGCTGCCCGACAACACCCTCAACTTTATCAAGAAGCACCCGCTGATGGAGGAGCAGGTGGGGCCTCGGTGGGCCCGGCCCCTGCTCGTGAAGAAGGACACCAACTTCACCCACCTGGTGGCCGACCGGGTGACGGGGCTTGATGGCGCCACCTATACAGTGCTGTTCATTGGCACAGGTAGGCACATGGGTGTTTCTAGGAGGCTGCTGGAGGCTGGGTGCAGGCCTGCCTGTCTGGGGCAGAGCCATCTGGAGACGCCCCAGGGCCCTCATGCTCTCAGACTTAAACGCGTCTTTCCCTAACCCCCCAGGCGATGGCTGGCTGCTCAAGGCCGTGAGTCTGGGGCCCTGGGTCCACCTGATTGAGGAGCTGCAGGTGTTTGACCAGGAGCCTGTGGAAAGCCTGGTCCTGTCCCGGAGCAAGGTAGTAATGAGGCCCCACCACCTCTGTCCCATCCAAGTCCTGGTCCTCTTTCGTGTACTTGGCCAGTTCGGAGTGAGGGGGCACTTGGAGCACCCCACTTGACTTGGGGCAGCTGCAGGAAGTCCGCGCTGGCTGGACTGCGCTCCGCCGTAGTCATATTTAGCCCGCTCCCTATCCAAGTCCTGGTCCTCTTTCGTGTACTTGGCCAGTTCAGAGTGAGGGGGCACTTGGAGCACCCCACTTGACTTGGGGCAGCCCCAGGAAGTCCGCCCCTGCTGGACTGCGTTCCGCTGTAGTTATATTTAGCCCGCTCCCCGTGGGGCCGTCTTCCCAGAATCGGCCTTGGCACTGACCGCCCAGTCCTCAGACCCCTGGAGGTCGTGCCTGGCCCTGCTGCTGCGGCCTCCCCTGATGCGGCCGGTGGCGGCCGTGTGCCGCAGTTATGTAGTTTTTTCCACCGGCCCCTTGGCCTGCAGTCCCTACCTGCCACCTCCCTCACCTTTCCCTGCAGCGCTGCTTGCATCACCTGGCAACAGTGTGTAGCCTCCCTGGCCCTTCCTGTGCCTGCCTTTACCAAGTGCTGTGTGGCTCGAGTTACCAGGACGTACAATCATGGCAGAAAGGGGGTCTGGGCGAAGAAACAATATGGGGTTGGGCAATTTGGGCAATCGCCTTTCCAACCGAGGAAAACACCTTCTGCTTTGCTGGTGCTATTGTGAGGCTGGCCTTGAGGAAACATGTTTCCTGCACTCTTTGTCCCGGACTGGAGTTGTGTGCGCGTGAGAAAGGGGGAGGGAGGGATGACAGTTCTGCCTAACGACTCAGCTTTCTTTCTAATAAGGCCCCTTCTGTAAGACGCTTAGGACTGCCTCTAGCCGACAGAAGCCCTCCAAGCGTTCTTTGGCCGTAGGGCTTCCTCCTCGGGACTGCAGCGCTGCGGCTGCCTCTCCTGCGCGCCCCGCTCACGCCCTGTGGGGCCGCTTGTCTTGCAGAAGCTGCTCTTTGCCGGCTCCCGCTCTCAGCTGGTGCAGCTGCCCCCGGCTGACTGCATGAAGTACCGCTCCTGTGCAGACTGTGTCCTTTCTCGGGACCCTTACTGTGCCTGGAGTGTCAACACCAGCCGCTGTGTGGCTGTGGGTAGCCACCCCGGGTGAGTGGGCGCTGCACGTGGGGTGAGACTCGGCAGGGAGGTTGGAGCTGGGGTGCTGACGGGCTCTGCCCTCCCGCATCAGATCTCTGCTGATCCAGCAAGTGGCGGTCTCAGACTCCTCGGGCATTTGTAACCTCCGCGGCAGTAAGAAAGGTGAGCTGTGTGTGTCGCCCACCCCTGTCCCGCTCCGGGCTGGACCCTAGAGCATCCGCGTCTCCCTCTGCCCTGGGTTTCTCTGAACTAACTCGCTCCTCCCTGTCTTCTTCTGCTGCAGTCAGGCTCACGCCCAAAAACATCACGGTGGTGGCGGGCACAGATCTGGTGCTGCCCTGCCGCCTTTCTTCCAACCTGGCCCACGCCCGCTGGACTTTCGGGGGCCGGGACCTGCCCGCAGAACAACCTGGCTCTTTCCTCTACGACGCCCGACTGCAGGCCCTGGTCGTGATGGCTGCCCAGCCCCGCCACGCGGGGGCCTACCACTGCTTTTCCGAGGAGCAGGGGGCACGGCTGGCTGCCGAAGGCTACCTGGTGGCTGTGGTGGCTGGCCCATCGGTGACCCTGGAGGCCCGGGCACCCCTGGAGAACCTGGGGCTGGTGTGGCTGGCCGTCGTGGCTCTTGGAGCCGTGTGTCTGGTGCTGCTGCTGCTGGTTTTGTCACTGCGCCGGCGGCTGCGGGAGGAGCTGGAGAAAGGTGCCAAGGCGGCCGAGAGGACCCTGGTATACCCCCTGGAGTTGCCCAAGGAACCCACCAGCCCCCCGTTCCGGCCTGGCCCCGAGACAGATGAGAAACTCTGGGATCCTGTTGGCTACTACTATTCAGACGGCTCCCTCAAGATTGTGCCTGGACACGCCCGGTGCCAGCCCGGAGGTGGGCCCCCTTCTTCACCTCCTGGCATCCCTGGTCAGCCCCTGCCTTCTCCGACTCGACTTCACCTGGGGGGTGGGAGGAACTCAAATGCCAACGGTTATGTGCGCTTACAACTGGGAGGGGAGGACCGGGCAGGGCTGGGGCACCCGCTGCCGGAGCTCGCTGACGAACTGAGGCGCAAACTGCAGCAGCGCCAGCCACTGCCGGACTCCAACCCCGAGGAGTCGTCAGTATGAGGGGAGCCCCCGCGGCAGCAGCGTGGGACGTGCAGCCCCTACTTTTGCACAGGCACCAGCTACCTCAGGGACATGGCGCGGGCATCTGCTCTGCCTGGGACACGTCCTGCCCAGCACCCGTCCGGCCATGAGGACCTGCTCTGCTCAGCACGGGCACTGCCACTCGGTGTGGCTCCCCAGGACGCCAGCCTCACAGAAGGCCTCTTCCTCCTCTCTGTGTGGGGCTGTGAATCATGGACACATGGGACCCCAGCAGCCAAAACCTAACAAGGCAGAAGTTAGGGGTGTAGGTGTGTGTGTGTGTGTGTGTGTGTGTGTGTGTGAGAGAGAGAGAGAGAGAGAGACATAGTCTTCCTGTTTCTGTCAAGTCTTCCTTGGCCTGGGGTCTTCCTGGTGAGTCATTGGAGCTATGAAGGGGAAGGGGTTGTATCACTTTGCCTCTCCTGCCCCCATCTGTCCCTGGAGGGCAGTGATGTACATATGGGGGTGGGCTGGGCAGCGTGTGTGCCCCTTTGGGGGAGTGCAGGGCCCTGGGGTGGGCCTGGTCCTGCTCCCAGGGCTGTGAATGTTTTCAGGGTGGGGGGAGGGAGATGGAGTCTCCTGTGTGTTTTGGGGGAAGGGTGGGAGGGGCTTCCCACTTGGCCCTGGGGTTCAGTGGTATTTTATACTTGTCCTCCTTTACAGGGCTGGGAAAGGTTGTGTGAGGGGAGGGGAGGGGAGGGGACTGGGCGGGCTTGCTGTGGATAAAAGCATGGCCTCTCCCAGCCCCAGGAGGAGGGCTCCTAACAGTGTAACTTATTGTGTCCCCGCGTATTTATTTGTTGTAAATATTTGATTATTTTTATATTGTCAAATAAAATGAAAGAAAATGAAACTGTGAGGGGGGAAAAGACATTAAGCTTTGGGTGCCAAGAAGAAAGGCTCCCTGTGGGTTGAGACTGGACAGCCTTCTCCCCACCCAGCCCCCTCCTCCTGGCAGCTGCCCCTCCCTCCTGTCCTGTCTGCTGCTCCTGCCCCTCTGGAGGAGGGGGGCAACCAGCTTTAGTATTTTCCCACAGTGATGGCTGTGGTGCTGGGAACCAGACCAGGGCCACAGCCTCTTGGGACCCAGCCTTGGCTTCTGGCCAAAGGGAGAAGTCGGGCATTGGGAGTCCCGGCTGGACAGGAGAGGGCTGGCTTCCCAGAAGCCTGGGAAGTATGAGGGAGGGGGCCAAAGGCTGGAGACTTCCAGAAGCAGCTGAACATTGTGTGAAGATGGGCTTTCAACTAGCTCAGGGAAGGTTACACAGCTGGAGTCACACTTGCCACTGCCACCCCGGGTGCACAGGCCACTCTCCTGTCAGAATTGTTCAGGCCCAGCCTGGACTCTGCAGTTTATTCCCATAGAGGCAGGAAGCAGGTATCCTGCACGCTTGACCGGCCTGAGGTGCCTCGGGTAGCTGGCCTAGATGGCTGTCCTGGGTGCCTTCGTGCAGGGTGCCTGCAGGGGTGAGTGAGGCTGAGTGCTGGCTCCAGTATACTACATTTCCTGCATCAGTTGTAAACAACCCGAGGCTATTTCCTCGAGGATTGCTCCAATAACTGCACCCGCTGTGGGCTTGATGGGTTCTACACTACTCAAGGCCTGGTCCTTGGCAAGGCAGGTTGTGACCACCTGCTTCTCACCGGTTTTCAAGAACCAAGCAGAAGCCAGGTAAAGAGGGAGGATGTGGCTGGGCCTTTGTAGCGCTTTTGCAGTGGTCACTGCGCGGCCACCCGCTTGGCACCCACACAGGTGGATTCCTGGGCCTGGCTGGTGCTGCGCGAGGTGAAGGACCCCAGCTTTTGCCAGATGCCTCCCTGCTCTGGCGTCCAGTGGAACTGGGGCTGTACGGGAGAAGCTGAAGGGCTCCGTTCTGGCAAGCGTCAAACGCTGCCGTCCTGCTGCCCGCCTGTTGCCCACGCCCCCGGCAACGCCGCGGACGCCGGGTCCTGGGTCCCCCGCACGGCTCCGCTTAGCCTAGGGCGCCCCCGCGCGGCCGCCTCGGGACGCGGCCCAGCGCGACAAGTCCCGCCCCGCCGCCCCTATTGGCTCTCGAGCTCCGGCCCAGACGCTTGACTGGTCGGGTCGCGGGGCGCCGGGTCACCGCGGCCGCAGAGTGCGTCCGCCCCGCCCTCCGAGGCCGCGCCCCCATAGCTGGTGGGCGGGCTTCAAGGTGGACATGGCGGCGCCGGGTCCCTGCGCCGACGGCCCCTGCTGCGCCGGCCCCAGTGCGACGGCCGGGGTGCAGCAGACACTGGACGAGATGGACTTCGAGAGAGGTGAGGCGGCCGTGGGGCCCGTGGGCCGGGGCGGGGGTTCCCGGCGCTCCCCAGGACCGCGGACCAACCGGCCCATCTGAACCCGGGGTCCGGCACCGGCCTCTGGGCCGGGGGGGCTGCGCTGGCGGGCGGTTGGCTCACCGGCCTCGAGCTGTCGAGAGCCCGCCAGGGGCCCGGCGCGAGCTCGGCAGAAGGGAACTGAGGTGTTTTTTTCGGTTCGTTCCGTAAACGGTGGGGCCGGCCCGACACCTGCCCTGATCGGCCTTGCGAGACCCAGGCCGGCTCGTTTGAGCGGGGTAGGGCCCCCACCCAGCCGAGCTTCACAGTGAGCAGGCCGTGTGGGGTGTCGGCCCCTCTACTTGATGGAGCCGTGGGGGAAAAGGCCCGCAGGAAGGTGATGCTATCCCTACCTACGGGGCCCAGGTAAGATGCTGTATCCCTGCCTACCCCGAGAGGTGACTCAGGTAAGGAGCGGCAGGTGCAGCGCTCTCCTGGGTCTTCCGTGCTTACCCCTCTAACGTCTCTCCATTCTGCACAGAAGCCGGAGGAGCCTTTTGATATGATTAAATCAAATAATTTCTCTGCTTTTAAAATAGATCCAGTCCCCCACACGGCTGACAGAAATCTGAGTGATCTAATTCTTTTCTGTCCTCATTTGATTTCTCTTCTTTTCTTCTCTTCAATCATACTTCAGCCACACAGGTCTGGTTGGGGTTTCTCAAACTTGCCAGACGAAACCCCTCCCACCCTTAGGGTAACTAATGCTTCTTCAGGTCTCAGTACAAATGTCACTTCCTCAGATCCCACCCTAAAGACCCCTTTCTATTATTTCTCAACTGGGGCTTACTCTGCCCGGTAAGGCATTGTCGAGAGACATTTTTAGTTGTCACAACTAGGAGACGACCACAGGCATCTAGCAGTAAGTGGACAGACAGCAAGGATGTTGCAGATGGCTCCCCTGAGAACGAATTGTTGGGCCCCAAATGTCAGTTGTGTTGCTGTTGAGAAAGAAGCCTTGTGGTAACCAAAGTAAGGCCCTATCCCTGTCCTTATTGATATGTCCCTGTCTTCATGTTTCCTACTGCTCTTTAATTTTTTCTCTTCACTACTCTGCCGCCTGCCGATTTCTAACTCATTGATTCTCTCCGGCTGAGCCCACAGTACTCTCAGCCACCTATTGCTGTTGCTTTGTTTGAATGAATCCACTTTTGAATTTACTGACTTTCATCTCAGATCTGTTTTTTTTTAAACGCTAATGTTCTGTTGATTTGTGTTTTCCATTCATCATCTGTGTGAACACATTAAAGACTCTTGTATTTTTTGAAGTGTGTAGTTTGCCATTTGGCATATGGAGACATTCCTCTAGGACTTTCATCTTTTGGTAACTTTCACTGAAGTGACATTGCATTATAACAGTCTAGAAGTTTCACCTGTGTCTCATTATAAGTCAGCATCTGAATATCCTACATTAGGCTCACCACCAAAGTCCACTTCTGCCCTCCATGCAGTTGATGCCTTTTATCCAATTTACTCACCCCACCTCACTCCATCCCTTCCCCTTCTGGTAATCAATAGTTTGGTCAAACAGTTTGTTTGTCTCTGTTTTACTCACTAATTGTTTTGTTCTCTATATAGCACATTAGAATGAAATCACTCTTTGTCTTTCTCTGTGGCTTACTTCACTAAGCATAATACATTTTAGGTTCATCCATGTTGTTGCAAATGGCAGGGTTGCAACATCTTTTGGGGATTGACTAAAATACATTACTGAGGGAGCAGGAGGAGACAGGAGACAGAAGAGGTCTGCCGTGCCATGTGAGTCACCTCCCTGGCCAGGAGTCAAATTCGTGCTGCAGTGGCTGCAGTGGCTGCAGGTGGCTTCATAGTGCTTTAACCTGTTGCTCCACCAGGGAGCACCCCACAACATCTTTTTCTTAAGTAACTGAACAATATTATGTATTGTATATGTATGCCAGGTCTTCTTTATCCAGTCATCTGTTGATGGACACTTAGGTTGTTTCTAGGTTTGGGTGATTGTATATATAACTGCAATCAACCTGGGATGGGGGGTGTCTCTCTTCTAAATAGAGCCAATGGCTTCCCTGGTGGTGCAAAGGGTTAAGTTGCAACTTTGTGAAGCTGTTGTTAGCCACTGCAGCATAAGATTGATTCCCAGCCAGGGTTCTGACCCCCATGGCACAGCAGACCTCTCCTGTCTCACCTGCTGCTCCCCTCAGCAGTGAATAGCAGTGAATAGCCTGTTCTGCTCCCCACTCTGTCTCTGGTGAATCCTCTCATCCCCCACACCTCTGGCTTATACCCCAGTTCTTGTATACATAAATAAATAACTTTTTTTTTTAAAGATTTATTTATTTGTTCATACAGAACTGGGGTACAGGCCAGAGGTTCAGGGGCGGCGAAAGGCTTCACCAGAGACAGAGTGGGGGGCAGAACAGGCAGATGGACGAAATACACTGCTGAGGGGAGCAGCAGGCGGGTCAGGAGAGGTCTGCCACGCCATGTGGTCACCTCCGGGGCAGGCGGGG